ACACTTGTGGTACTTTCTTTCAAAGATAAGAAGATTCAAGAAACAAGTTGTTATTACAATATAACAACAAGAGGTATGTAATTCATTCTCCTTTATCATTTTCGAAATTACCTATGAGCATGTTAGTTTTCTTTTGTGTTCATAATGTTGTATAACTAATAGTGAAAACATAGATCTGTATCTAGGGTTGCATGCACACATAGGATTGTTTGTATTAAACCCATCAATATCTCCTACTGACAGAGTTTTCGTACAACAACAGTTATCATGCCAGTATCGATCGAGCTCCGTTCGAGATGTTATACGGTCGGAGGTGCAGGACCCCAGTTTGTTGGGATGAGATCGGACATCGGGTCATGGGAAGCACTGAAGTAGTGCTCAAGACCACTAGGTTGATTCAGCAGGTACGCGATCGATTGCGGGTCGCACAGAACCGTCAAAAAAGCTATGCTGACCGACGGTGATCAGATCTTGAGTTTCAGGTGGGGGATTTTGTGTTGCTGAAGGTGTCGCCCTGGAAAGGGATCATCAGGTTTCGGAAGAGGGGCAAGCTGGGGCCTCGGTATATAAGCCCGTTCAGGATCACAACCCGGGTGAGCAAGGTGGCATATCTCTTGGATCTGCCAGAGGAGCTTATCCAAATTCACAACACATTCCATGTGTCGCAACTTCGGAAGTGTGTCACAGACGAGGCTGTAATTGTCTCGTTGGGTGATATCCAGGTGGATGAGAGCTTGAACTACATCGAGAATCCTGTTGCCATCTTGGATAGGAGGACGAAGTTTCTTCAGAATAAGGAAGTAAGACTGGTGAAAGTGCAATGGCAACATCGGAAGGGTTCCGAATGGACTTGGGAATCGGAAGAGGAGATGCGAGCACATTACCCCGATTTGTTTGAGTCAGCAGACTTCGAGGACGAAGTCTAGTTTAAGTGGGGGAGACTTGTAACACCTGGTTTGATTTGGAAAGGTTTTATGCATGGACTCGTCGAGATGGGAGATCAACTCATCGAGTAGGGTTGTGGTATCATGGAACGCGGGACGGGACCGACTCAGCGAGTCGAAGGGTCGACTCGACGAGTCCGAGCTGTTTAAAGAAAACCCTAATTTGGGGTTTGCCCCCTATATAAACGACATTATACGCCTTTGTAGCCTCCCTTAGCATCATAATAGATCGTTTACGGCCGCAAACACTTGGGTGTGTGAAGTAAGAGCTTTGGGAGCTTAAATCTTGGGGTTGTGGAAGGAATTCCAAGCTTGAAGAAGAAATATCAAGGGGAAAACACTAGATCTAGTATCTAGTTCGTCTTGGGCATTGATTTGAGGTATGAATCTGTTATCTTAAGCCTGGATTCTATTTGAGAGTTGTGACCAACTTTGAGGAAATGGAAGCAAGCTTAGATATGGACCTATCACAAGGATATGGTTCCAGATCTGGACTTTCTTAGGTCCCAAATATCATAAAGTCACACCTTTTTGTATGCTTATCCCCTCTCCATGCATTAAAACCTTGTTTGAAGGTTAGTTTTGGTGTTATGGCCATGTGAGGCTATGCATGCACGTAAAGTTTGCAACTTTACGTGACATCTTCACTAGGAGAGTATGGATCTGAAGTTTGAAACCTTAAATCCCACTGGAAAGAACTGAATATGTGAGAACTCGTCGAGTCCCTGTGGTGACTCGGCGAGTCGAGAGGGTTTTCTCATTTACGGCCAAGGGTTTACGGCCAAGGGTTCACGGCCGAGGGTTCACGGTCAAGGGTGTTCGGTTGGTGGTTTACGACCATGAACATCAAGGAACTCGAGGAGTCCCTCGGGTGACTCGGCGAGTCGATGAGTTAAGCAGGGGACCCGACGAGTGACTGATTGTACTCGACGAGTCAAGGTCAATATGGACTGTTGACCTTGACTATAGACCTTGACTTTGACCAGGGTTGACCGTGGGGGTATTTATGGGATTATGCTGAGTTATTTACTCATTGATTATAGACAGTTTGGTAGGAGCAGCGTGGGATATATCTGACTACGGTTGCCAATTTAGCCTTTGAGAGGTGAGTCTTCTCACCATACCCATGGGTCTAAGGCACCAAGGCCGACCCATTATGTGATTATGATATATGTGTTAGTCTTTATGTGTTTGGTATGTCATGTGAATGTGTGTTTGCATGGAAGATCTCGGGGGGAGCCCGTGGCATTGGATGTAAGACCATGCGGGGTAGCCCATGGTTGTCCTTGTTAAAGACCATGTGGGGGTAGCCCATGACATTGGATGTAAGACCATGTGAGGTAGCCCATGGCTGTCCTAGGTAAAGACCATGTGGGGTAGCCCATGACATTCTTACAAATTTTATGTATGCATGGCTTATGTGATATAGGTGTAGCTTCCATTAGCTAACAGGATATATGTATGTGTATTGTGTGTGGTATGCTCTGGGGAACTCACTAAGCATTTCGCTTACAGGTTGTTGATTTGTTTCAGGTACATCTGAGCCTAAGGGCAAAGGCAATGCATGATGGCGCGACGTGCACTCTCTCTCAGGCGATTTTATGGGACACTCTGATATTTGAAAATGAAGTTGTAATGAATATGGATTTGAAACAATTGTTTTGGAATTTCTTGATTTATGGAAATGTGTTTGGTTAATTAAAAATGAAAAAATTTCTCTGAAAAATTGGGTCGTTACACCTTAGGCAAGGCCATGTAAGGGGTTTGGGCCCAATTTGGAAAATTGGGCCAATGGTTGATTTGTTGGCCTTAGGGCCTTTTAGAGGGTAGTTGGGTCATAAATTTGGAGAAGGTTAGGTAAGGGTAAAATGGTCCTTTGTACCCCAGGCATGGAGTTGTGGTTTGGATTGGAACTTAATTGTTAATTGGGTGTCGTTTTGTTATTAATAGTTCGGGGATCAGTCAACCTGTAGCCAGGAGTTTTCTGTAAGATTCAGCGGTACGATGTGAGTCTTCTCACTATATCCATGGGTCGAAGGCACCAATGCCGACCTATTACATGTTATGTGGTATGGTAATTGTCTTTGTGATACTTGCATGGAAGACCCCGAGGAGGGGGGGGAGTCCATGTCATTCCAGGTAAAGACCATAGGGGGAGCCCATACAACTATATGTATGTTGCATGATAATATATGGTTGTATGTTGTGTGGTATTTTGGGGAATTCACTAAACTTTGTGCTTACGGTTTCAGTTTATGTTTCAGGTACTCCAGTTTTCCAATGAAAGAGCTCGGGACGATTGCATGGCACACACCACGTGTTTCCGCATTCTGTGAATTACTCTGATTTGATGATGTTTTTGCTAACTCTTGGTTACCTTGGTTTTATGGGAAAGAAATGTATTAACGATTTATTAATCTAAAAACAAAAATTTTTATGTCATGATTTTCGGGACGTTACAACATTACTACATTGTTTTCATGTGGCTTCCCGTCTCAAAGTAAATCTACAAAAAAAAAGGTTTTTGGAGTTAGTATTGAAAATGGTGAACTTCTTCGTATGTCCAGTTTTCTTAAAATGTGGTCAAGCACATTTCCTATTTATCTATCTCGGTCTTCAAATTGGTGCGAATTTGGAGTTAGCCAAGAATTAGGAGTTGGTTATAGAGAAATTTATGTGTCAGTTATTTCTTTTGGAGGATCCTCCACTATTGTCATCTTCAACATCTAATTGTCTTTTGAAAAATTTGCTAATGGAACCCTACAGTGGAAATATTTCAACTATAAACTTGATTTCGATTTTCAACAACAAATAATCACTAACTATTAACCCTAGTCCCTGGTTAGATAAACATAATTGCTAATTTCTAGTTTTCAACACAATGCCAAATAATGAAAATTTGAAATAACCTAATAATAAATAATAGGATTGAGTTATTTGTGTTACTTACTTGTTTCATTGTGCAAGGTGGGTGAAAGTAAGGGTGACAATTCTTGACCCAACCCGTAACTCGACACGAACCCGACATGAAAATAAACATGTTTGAATTGAGATTTTTGACACACCAACCCGCAAACCCACCAACCTATTTATTTCATGGGTTGGGTTGGATTACTTGTTTAGGTTCATGGGTGAACCCGCCAACCCGAATATATATATATATATATATATATATATATATATATATATATATATATATATATATATAATTGAAAATTTTATTTATGAATTAATAGAATATAGTAGTATAAGTCATTGTAAACTTTTTTTTTCTTCAAATATGTTGCTTATTAACTTATTATGTTAGATTTGTATTTGGTTATTCATTTCATTATAGTCAATGTAAAATGCTAACTATTAATTAATATAAAGACGTGCATAATTCATATAAATTTAACACACGAAAAGTTATGCAAAAACGACTCATCGACTCTTTTACCTAAAATTGACTCACTGAGCCGCAAGCTCATATACTTAAATGAGTTATGTGGGTTGGTTTGGGTTGATATTTCGAACCCGCCAACCCATATATTATATGAGTTTGGTTGTGTCAATGTATTCCGGCCCACCAACCGAAATCCAACCCAATTGCCAGGCTTAAGTGAAAGTCCGTCGGTCAGAGAGAGGGTTCCAGATGCCAACGATAAAAAAATTGACAACAACAAAAGTCAGCAACGTCAACATTGAACAATGCATGGGTACGGGCGAATTGTTTTTGCCTTTTATTTTCCTCCTCTTGATTTTGAACAAGAATAAATAAATGACCTACCTCTTATTTCATTAAAAAGACTTTGGTATTAAGTTTAGGCTTAAACACTTTGAGCTACTTTAAACACTTTAGACAATTAGACTACGTTTGAATTTATAAGTTAGGGATAACCTATATTTTCTTCCAGGTTTTTTTTTTTTTTAATGACCACTAAGTTCCACAAAATTCAATTACTATTTTAAATCACGCGGGCCCAAAATTTAACTATATTACAAATCCAAAAGTCCAATACAAAGCCCATATCGATATACCTCCGCTTCTCAGCCCAAAGCCACCGCGCCTTATCTGAAATCCCCAATCAATTGGAGATATTCCTGCAACGGTAAAAGAAAGTTTCTGAATATTTCGGATTGAGGAGACGAGGAAGGCGATTTGTGGTCTCTGGAGGAGCCGAGTAGCCGACAGCCTCTCTGCCTCCGGTTTTCGATTTTGGTTACTGGGTGATTTTGGATTCTCTAATTCTAGTATTTCTACTGATTCTCTCATACAGTTAGACTAAGAAGGTATGCATAAATTATACACTATAATTATTGATTTTGGTTTCAAATTTCTGATTTTGGCTACATTTGTTCTCTCTCTCTCTCTCTCTCTCTCTCTCTCTCTCTCAAACACACACAGACATTCTCTTCTCTTTTGCAATTCAATATTTCTGGAACCAAAAATGTTCCACAGCCTGTAAGAGCATACAGGGGAACTTTTTAATTGATTTTTTTCATAAAAAAACTAAGAATACAAAAGTCTCATAATACGCGAGCTTTTTCATTTTGCTTTTTATTAGTTGTTTTTAGATGTTGTATAGTTTTAATTGGTTAAAAATATGTTGTCCCATACCAGAAATGAAAAAGCTAGAGCTTGTTAATTAACAAGCTTACTCAAAAAAGCTCTCACAATAGTTTTTCCATTTTTCAAGAGTTTTTTTTTTTTTTTGAAAAAGCTGGAATTGGGGATGCTCTAACACTGATGCTCTTAATTTGGCTGAGAGCTTGAGTTCATCTACGATTATATCTTCTTCAATGATACGAATTGGTTGTTTCTTGCTTAAAGAGTTTACTTTATGTACAGCTTAGTAGCTGGGTTTTTTTTGTTATAACTTTGGATTTTGAGTACAGTTAGTTCACTGTAATTCTGTAAATTTTAGTTGCTTTTACAGTAGAAACTTTTATTGTTTTTAATTGTTTAATGTTTACTATAATTACTTTCAAAGGTTTTAACTTGAGTATATGTTTATTGTGGTTTGAAGTTGAATTGCATTGTTCATGTGTATTCAATTTCCACATGTTTATTGTTTAAAATCTTTACTACCCATTGATAGTCTTTGTTTGTTGTGTAGTTTTAAGTATCAAAATTCATTTTTAGCTAAACATGAAAGGATTATTGATATTTTTCCTGATGAAATTTATAACTTTCAGTAAATATTGCATACCCTACTAGTTATCATGCCCACTTTAAAAGCTAGGCATGAACATAGCAACTTGAAGTGGAAGGAGGAAAGTTAAAACAATACAATTAAAAAGAAAATACAAGAACTTAAATTTTACAAGTTATGATTTTGTATATGTTACATTTCGGTTTTTTCATATAATCATATTCACTTTATGACTCGATGTTTAATTAGTAATTCATATAACACATTCTCATTTAAATAAAGCAACATAATTCTACTTCTGAAGATATTCTAAATCACTTCCAATGTATGAAGTTTTTTTACAGACATCAGACACTCATGCTCCACTAAGTCTAAGTGAAGTTCAAAGATGGCAATGGCTTCTTTCAGTGCCATATCACATTGTCATCATCACAGGCTATGGTGGCAACCAAATACTTCCAAGCTTCCAGTTTCTTGCTCTATGCCACCTCCTTCATTTACAGGTAAATAAAGGGCCCGTTTGATAGTTGTTGTCTGGGAAAGTTTACTGACCGGGAAAGAAACCATGTTGTTTGATTGTACATCTGACTGACTGTGCTGAATGATGAAAAATGACCATTCAGCCAAAAAGATATGGTTTTAGGGCTTTCTGGGAAAGACATGTCTTACTGGGAAAGACCACTTTTCTTATGCAAATCAAACAGTCTTTCCAGCCCATTCAGCCATAAAGATCTGTTTGGACCTGGAAAGATGTCTATCAAACGGGGCCAAAATCTCATCATTTTTCTTGATTTTGTTCATGATGAATTGATGATGATAGTATGATACATTCTTGGATACCTGTTTGTTGAATTAAGCAATTTGGAATGTTGAATAGGTACTAGTCATGGATCTAAAGTTGGGTATAAGAGATCTGGAAGATTTGAAGGAGCTGGAAAGAGCATGGAAGATTCTGTGAAGCGAAAAATGGAGAAATTTTATGAAGGGCAAAATGGTCCACCTCTTCGTGTTCTTCCAATTGGTGGCTTAGGAGAAATTGGAATGAATTGTATGCTTGTTGGGAATTTTGATCGGTATATTCTTATTGATGCTGGTGTCATGTTCCCAGAGTAAGAAAGAATCTCTTTCCTTTTTCCTTTTTCCTTATAAGTATTGTTTGGATTCTGAATAATAGTTGATTGTTTATTTGAAAATCGTTACAAATTGAGATTGTAAATAACCACAATGAAAAGAAGTTATAAAAAATGAATACCACAATTAATAACTTATGTTGAACACTATAAGTTCAAATATGTTTAAGTCATGTTCTCTTTATGTCCATTAAATCAAAATCTTTTATAAACTTTATGGCCATTACTGATTGTGAATGTTAATAATTTTTTTTTTCAGCTATGAGGATCTTGGTGTTCAAAAAATTATACCTGATACAACATTTATAAAAAAATGGTCTCATAAAATTGAAGCAGTTGTTATAACACATGGGCATGAAGATCACATTGGTGCGTTGCCTTGGGTAAAGTTTCTATTCCACTTCTTATTAAAAATCATTTCTTTTATTGCTTATCATTTTAATATATATATATATATATATATTTATTATCATTCAATTATACTTTCTAACATTTTGTTCTCACTTTTTAACCAGGTTATACCTGCTTTGGATTCACGTACTCCAATATTTTCATCAACCTTTACAATGGAGGTCTAAATGTCCTTTTCTCCTCTTATTTTTCTAGTTTTATATATGTATTTTAGCAAATTACAAAAAAAAAAACATTATATTTTTAGCAGTTTTGCAGTTTATCAACCACTAATACTTCATATTTTTTTTTCCAATCAAACCATATAAGTTTAGATGTTTTCCCAACAGGCTGAAATGGTTAATTTGGAAAAATGTCATCAATTTTTATGGTTTGAGTGGAAAAATATGAAGTATAACTGTATAAGTGATGAAACTATAAAAGGGTTAATCTAAAAAAATACATTATATTTTGTGTTTTTTCCGGATTAGACCTCAATCTTTTTTGCCTGAAAAAGACCTTGTATTTTTTCATTTTTTCCAATCTGGCCCTTTTAGTCATTTTTCTCCAAAAAAAGGGTTTTATGCAGAAAAGTCCCGTTATTTGGGGAAATTTTTTGATAAAGTCCTAAACGTTTTTTTTTCAACAGAAAAGTTTTATTATTTTGGGAAAAAGCACGTAATCTGTTATTTCCTGTTAAAATAAAAAAATTTTTTTTCTCTTTAATTGGGGTAAAGTCCCAAACTTTTGGGAAAAGTTTCAAAAAAGTCCTAAATTTGTTTTTTTGAACAGAAAAGTTCCATTATTTTGAGAAAATCATATAATCTGTCATTTGCTGTTCAAATATAAAAGAGGATTTTTTCATTAATTTGGGCAAAATGTTAAATAATCGGGACTTTTCTGTTCAAAAAAAAACTTTTAGGACTTTATTGAAACTTTTCCCAAAAGTTTGGGACTTTTCTGTAGATTTCCCGACTTTTCTGTTCATAAAATTTTTTTTAGGACTTTATCAAAAGTTTTCCCAAAATAATGGGACTTTTCTTCATAAAACCCCCAAAAATATTGTAAAATATGAGGGTTTTTTCGAGAAAAAGTAAAAAAAGTTGAGGGTTGCATTTAGAAGGTTGAGGGTTTTTTTCGGAAAAAAAAAATACAAAGTTGAGGGCTTTTTCGGAAAAAATGAAAACATACAAGGTCTTTTTCATGCAAAAAAAAAAGTTTGAGGTTTAATCCGGAAAAAAACACAAAATATAAGGTCTTTTTTGAGATCAACCCAACTATAAAACTGCCCAAAATATAAATTTGACTTATGTATTTACACATATGAATGGATATTACTATGTTTTAGACATTTGGAGATTTTTGCTTTTGTTTTTTGAGCAGCTTATTAAGAAGAGATTGAAGGAATCAGGCATATTTGTGCCTTCAAGGCTTAAAACATTTAAAACAAAGAAGAAATTTATAGCTGGACCTTTTGAAATAGAGCCAATTAGGGTTACTCATTCAATCCCTGATTGTTCTGGATTAGTTCTTAGATGTTCTGATGGTGTTATTCTTCATACTGGGGACTGGAAGGTAATTTTACATTTTACACTTAGTTTCTAATGTGTATCCATTGTTTGTTCTTAATCAGTTAATACTTAATTACAACTTTATATTCAACAGATTGATGAGTCACCATTGGATGGGCAAGTTTTTGATCGTGAAGGTTTAGAACAGCTCTCAAAAGAAGGGGTAACTTTGGTAAGTTCCTATATTTTCTTTTAACTTTAAAAAAGGGCAAGTTATTGAATATTATATATGGTTTAAGTTAAGTTAATAATGTATATAGATTAAATATTATGTTCAGTTTATAACAGTTCTCAGTTAAAACAAAAAGATCATTTCTAGATAGAAGGGTAAAATGGTCATTTACATTTACTCTCATTAAGTCCAAAAAGGGAACGATCTTTGTTCATACAACACTTATTCTAGACAGACATTATTTATGCCCTTAGAAACTGATAGTGGAATTTGTGAAAGCTTGTAATCTTGATAATAGTTTGAATAAACACTTGCAATGTTATGAGAGTCAATGACCATTTTACCCTTATGTCTACAAGTGATGTTGAATAATTTCTTCTACATATGAACCTTGTTATCAATGTCTTATGTTACAATTTACTTCCTTTGTCCTATACAAATCGCAACATCTGATACCACACACAATTTTTAGCGAAATGCCTAAAATACCCTTTTTCACAAAACAAGTTAACTTTTCATCCCCAAATTGGTAATTGAGTCAACAGATAGTGAAATTTGTGAAAGCTAGTAATCTTGATAGTAGTTTGAACAAACACTTACGATGTTACGAGTGTCAATGACCATTTTACCCTTATGTCTACAAGTCATGTTGAATAATTTCTTCTACATGTGAACCTTTTGTCAATAATGCCTTATGTTACAATTTACTTCCTCTGTCCTTTTGTCAATAATGCCTTATGTTACAAATTGCAATATCTGATACAACACACAATTTTTAGCGAAATGACTAAAATACCCTTTTGTATGTTTGTCAGATGATGAGTGATTCAACAAACATACTCTCACCTGGAAGAACACTTAGTGAAACAGTTGTAGCAAATTCATTACTTAGGAATATTTCAGCTGCAAAAGGAAGAGTAATAACAACTCAATTTTCATCAAATATTCATAGACTTGGAAGTGTTAAAGCTGCAGCTGATGCAACTGGAAGAAAGTTGGTATGTTTTTTTTTTTATCCTCATGAGTCATCATCTTATGGAAAATGCAAAAGAAATTCATTTTCTTGGAATATTTTTTACTTATATTTCCAATATTGTTCCAAAACTGCTCATTGTTACAAAATATGAAAATACAGTGTGTTTTTTTTTTGCAATTTTTGTTAATGATATATGGTTTGTTTACTAGAAAGAAATAAGTCGAATGGTTTTGGAGTTCAATCACTAGAAAACTTTCATTGGATTTTGTGTTTTCTAGTCAAATGTCTAAAATACCCTTTTCATGTTGGTTTTCAATATTATTCCAAAACTGCTCTTTGTTATAAAATACGGTGTGGTTTGTTTACTACAAAAAAACCAAGTACAATGGTTGGGAAGTCAAATGTCTAAAATACCCTTTCCCACAAAATAACGTATATTTTAGTCGAATGTTGAAAATACCTGTTTCCACAATCCACAAGATAAAGTATCTTCTAGTCAAATGTCTAAAATGCCCTTTTCTACAAAGATAAAGTATCTTCTAGTCAAATGGGAAGTTAATCACTAGCGACCTTTCATTGGATAAAATATTTTCTAGTCAAATGTCTAAAATACCCTTTTTTCCAAAATAAAGTATCTTTTAGCCAAATGTCTAAAATGCCCTTTTCCACAAAATAACATATTCTAGTCGAATGTCGGAAATACCTTTTTTCCACAAGATGAAGTATCTTCTAGTCGAATGTGTTCCAAAATACCCTTTTCCACAAGCTAAAGTATCGTCTAGTCAAATGTCTAAAATACCCCTGTTTTGTTTCAGGTATTTGTTGGGATGTCTTTGAGGACATATCTTGATGCTGCATGGAAAGATGGAAAGGCACCAATTGATCCTTCAACTCTTGTAAACAACTTGACCCTAAATTTATGTTTTCATGGTTTTCATTTGGTGTATAAAGTCACCTTTTTTTTTTTTTTTTTATTTTTTTTATTTTTTTTTTTTAAATATTGACCACTATTCATGTTGTGTAGGTGAAAGTTGAAGACATTGATGGTTATGCTCCAAAAGACTTGCTAATTGTTACTACTGGCTCTCAAGTAAGTTGCAATAATAGGTGCAATTAGAAAGTAAACTTGATTTTAGTAATTAGGTTAAATGCAAGAAATAGCAACATATTTTCATTTATTTATTTAAATAGCATCCTACTTTCATTTCTTTATATTACAACAGTGTATTTTTATATTGTATATATACACACAATTGCTGCCTATTAGGCATGCCTTTATGCTATCATACTCCTTGCCATTGTGCTAACATGCACCTAATTAATCCAATTTACAGAAATGCCATGTTTAGTCCCTGTAGTTTTAAAATGGAATAATTACACGTTTAGTCCCTATAGTTATATACTATTGTGGCCACTTTAGGTTAATTACAATGTTTATATGGAAAATTACAGAATGGTCCCTGTGTATCATAAAACTAGAAAAATGCTTCCTATATTATCAAATATTTGTAGAAATGGTCTCTGCTTAAATGGAAAATTACAGAATGGTCCTTATGTAATATCATAAAACTAGAAAAATGCTTCCTGTATTATCAAATATTTGTAGGAATGGTCCCTGCTTAAATGGAAAATTACAGAATGGTCCCTATGTAAAATTACGGAAATGGTCCCTATGTAAAATTACGGAAATGGTCCCTATGTATCATAAAACTAGAAAAATGGTCCCCGTCTAATATGGAATTCCCAGAAATGGTCCCTATGGAATAGTGTAGTTATACAAATTGTCCTGTTTCTTACAATTATAGAATTGGTCCCTACATTTCAGAAATTTTCAGAAATGGTCAATGTTTAATTGAAAAATTACAAAATAGTTATTCTATTTCATTAATGATGTCAAAAATATAAGATTAAATCAATTCGCCAACTAGTTTTTTTTTTAATATTTATACATCATACTTTGAAATATCTACCTAAGTATAAAAATGACATGGTAGATTTTTCAAAGTACAATGCTGTAATTGGAGAAAATTAAATATCTATTAAATTATAAAAGTGAAAATAGACTTATATTTGGCTATTTGCTTATGCAGGCAGAACCTCGTGCTGCACTTAACCTTGCATCATTTGGAAGCAGTCATTTTTTCAAATTGAGCAAAGAAGACTTAATTTTGTATTCTGCCAAGGTTATTTATTATATATCATCCCAATCATCATAGTATTAAAAAAATATGTACATTGTGATAATTTAATTAGTTTTTTGGGTTAATCACATAAAAGACTTTATTTTTTTCATGTAAAAGACCTTGCATTTTTTCATTTTTTCTGATCTGGCCCTTTTAGTTTTTTTTTTTCCTATAAAAATGAGTTGTAAAATGTAAGGGTTTTTTTTTTAGGAAAAAGGGTTAATCTAAAAAAAGACCTTATATTTTGAGTTTTTTCCGGATTAAACCTCAAAAAATTATTTTTTGCCTGAAAAAGACCTTGTATCTTTTCATTTTTTCCGAAAAATCCCTTGTATCTTTTCATTTTTTCCGAAAAATCCCTCAACTTTGTACTTTTTTCTGAAAAAAAACCCTCAACGTTCTAAATAATTCCAAATAAACACTCAACTTGGCTCGTTTTTCTCAAAAAACCCTTCACATTTTACAAATTGTTTGGCAAAAAAATGACTAAAAGGGCCAGATCGGAAAAAATGAAAAAAAATACAAGGTCTTTTTCAGGCAAAAAATAAATTCGAGGTTTAATCCGGAAAAAACACAAAATATAAGGTTTTTTTGAGATTAACCCCAGGAAAAACTACAAAAGTTGAGGATTTATTTGGAAACATTTAGAAGGTCGAGGGTTTTTTTCATGAAAAAAAGACAAAGTCGAGGGTTTTTCCGGAAAAAAATGAAAAAAATACAAGCTCTTTTCCATGAAAAAAAATAAAGACGAGGTTTAATCCAGAAAAGAACATAAAATATAATGTCTTCTATGAGAATAACCCTAGTTTTTTTTTTTTTTTTTTTTTTTTTTTTTTGAAATCATCTCCCTTGTTTTATTTATATTATTATTATAGGTGATTCCTGGTAATGAATCTAGAGTAATGAAAATGATGAATCGATTATCAGAAATTGGGCCCACAATAGTCATGGGTAAAAATGAACAACTACACACATCTGGTCATGCCTATCGTGAAGAATTGGTAATTATTTTTTTCTTTTCTTGATTAACTAAATAAAAAAAAAAACATATTAATTAGAATTTGAATTTGAATTTTGTAGGAAGAAGTACTGAGGATTGTGAAACCACAACATTTTTTACCTATTCATGGGGAACTCTTATTCCTCAAAGAACATGAATTGCTTGGAAAATCCACTGGGATTCATCACACTGCTGTAAGTATCTACTATTAAGGAGGGCATTTACGTCTTTTCCACCTTTGTCTCTATTATCATACTAGTATATATTAAAAGTAAAACAAAAGTCCTTATGAAGAGTAAAGCTTTAGGCTTTTAAACTTTTGCCACTGAAGTTTTTATATTAAATTATGGCCACAATACATAGTTCTAGATTTTTACATTTTGGCCACAAATAATCTTAAACTTTAGCCACAAACTTTCTTATTTTAGACTTTAGCTACATAACTTTCTTATTTTGGCATGTTTAATCCCTAAACTTTCGTACGCCTGCACTTTCCACCCCAATTTATAAAAATTTCACTTTTACCCCCTCAAATTTGGATACCAACATTTTTCATTTCTATACCTTTCGTATCTTGGCATGTTGCAGGTTTCGCATGTTTGGTCCCTACGTAGAAAATAAATTACAAGAACAGTCCTTGTAATTTACGTAATAGGTCCTTGTGCAGAATTATATTTTACAAGAATGATGCATATGTTTAAAAATTACATAAATGCCCCTTCCTAATAACAAATTTACAAAAGTGAGCTTTGGTCCCTACATAGAAAATGAATTACAAAAAATGGTCCCTGTGGTTTTTTTTTTCAAAAACAGTCCCTGTAATTTCGTAAGCAAAACCTTGTCTGCGTTGATGATTTCTAGTTGTAATTATGTTAATTTTATGTTATCAATAAACAGGTCATTAAGAATGGAGAAATGCTTGGGGTTTCTCATTTGAGGAACAGAAGAGTTTTGTCTAATGGTTTCATAGCCCTAGGAAAAGAAAATTTACAGGTTTCTCTCTCTTTCTCTCTCCTCTCTTTCTTTCTCTCTCTCTCTCACACACACACACACACTGATAGAATCCCACAACTGCAGTTGATGTACAGTGATGGTGACAAAGCATTTGGTACATCTGCTGATCTTTGTGTAGATGAAAGGATGAAAATTGCAACAGATGGAATAATAATTGTCAGGTTAAAATTTCTCAACTCTAAACCCCCATTTGTTACACATGATGACATGGCATGTGACATGACATGACATGACAGAACAGGTTGTACTGTGTTTGGCATGTTGCAAAGGTTTTTGTCCTGCCCAAAAGGTGGGACAATTTGCTATTTGCTCTCAATCTCTCATTTCTGTAAAAGACGTAAATGCCCTCCTCATCCTAATATTGAAAATAACCCTAGAAATCTTGTCTAGTCCCATTCAGTCTAATCCTAATATGCATTTACATTATAAATTTAGGATAATTTAAAGAAAGAGAGGTAAATATGTATTAATGTTCAACAAATATTATGTCTTTATGTGTGTAATATATATTTATATATGATTTTTTTTCATATCATTGCTCTTATGAGTCACAAATTGACAACTATGCCTTTACTTGTTTTCTCCTTCTTTTTCCCTCCAAACCCCATTAATATTGTTTATACCGATGAATACTGTTATGTTTTTTTTTTCGAATGTAAGGGTAAAATGGTCATTTAGTCACATTAAGACAATTTAGTCTTTATATGTGTAAATATATATATTTATATATAATTTCTTTTAGTATCATGGCTCTCACAAGTCGAGTCACGAATAGAAAAATTATATTTTCAAGTCACGAGTTGACAACTATACCTTTACCTATTTTGCCCTTCTTTTTTCCTCCAAACTCCATTAATATTGTTCAAACTGATGAATATTGTTATGTTTTTTGTTCTAACGTAAGGGTAAAATGGTCATTTAGCCACAAACTATGCCTTTACCTATTTTTCCCTTCTTTTTTCCTCCAAACTCCATTAATATTGTTTAAACTGATGAATATTATTATATTATTTGTTCTAACGTAAGGGTAAAATGGTCATTTACCCACTAACTATACCTTTACCTATTTTCCCCTTCTTTTTACCTCCAAACTCCATTAATACTGTTTAAACCAACGAATAGTTATATATTTTTTGTTCGAATGCAAGGGTAAAATTGTCATATAGTCACACATTAACTATTGCATTTCTGTATTTCAGCATTGAAATCATGCGCCCTCAATCAACCGAAAATACTGTATTATTGAAAGAAACAATTAAAGGAAAAATAAGAATAACTACTCGATGCTTATGGCATGACAATGGGAAGCTTCTAGATGCTCTTCATAGTGCTGCACATGCAGCCCTATCCAGCTGTCCAATAAAAAGTCCCTTACCTCATATGGAAAGAACTGTTTCTGAAGTTTTAAGGAAAATGGTAAGAAAATATAGTGGAAAAAGGCCTGAAGTCATCACACATGCTATTGAAAATCCTATTGCTGTTATTGCTGATGAAATTAGTGAAAAGTTATCTGGTGTGAATGTGAATGTGAATGTCAACAATGGCTTTGAGATGCCTTTGGGGAAATCGGTTGATGGGAGTTTAAAAAAGAGAAAGTCAAGTAAGTTTCAAGAAGAAAAGAAAGATCCTGATTTTGATACTAAAGGTATGCATAATCCACTATTTATATTTTATTGGGTTATATGCAAGAAATTGCAACTTATTTTCATTGACTTGTTTGTTATATTATTATATATAACATTCTACTTTTGTTTCTTTCTATTACAACAATGTACTCTTAAAAATCTTCCCATTTATAGCAATAATTTGGTAGAAATTTTAAGGGTTAATCTCAAAAAAGACCTTAAATTTTGTTTTTTTTCCCGGATTAAACCTCAAGTTTATTTTTTCTCTGAAAAAGACCTTGTATTTTTTCATTTTTGACAAAATTGCAAGAATGGTCCCTGTGGTATGTCGAAAATTGCCACTTTGGGCCAAACAGGTTTTGACTAGCACAAATGGTCCAACAGTTTCCATTTTGTTGCTAGTGTGGTCCATTCTGCTTTAATTTTTTATAAAATGACGATTATGCGCTCTGTATTTTCTTTTTTCATTTTTGTATTACAAAAATAAAAGAAGAAAAGAAAAAAGAAAAGAAAAAAATACCCTTTCTCTCTCACTCACTCATTCACTCACTCTCTCTCTCACTCACACACTCTCTCTCTCTCTCTCTCTCTCTCTCTCTTGTTTCTTGCTTACCACCGACAAAAGAAGAAGAAATCGGCGTGTGTGTGATTGAGTGAGAGAGAAAGGGCATTTTTTTTCTTTTCTTTTTTCTTTTCTTCTTTTATTTTTGTAATACAAAAATGAAAAAAAGAAAATACAGAGGGCATAATCGTCATTTTATAAAAAATTAAAGCAGAATGGACCAAACTAGCAACAAAATAGAAACTTTTGGACCATTTGTGCTAGTCAAAACCTGTTTGGCCCAAAGTGGCAATTTTCGACGTACCACAGGGACCATTCTTGCAATTTTGTCTTCATTTTCCGATCTGACGTTTTAGTCATTTTTTTTTCAGAAAAATTGTAAAATGTGAGGGTTTTTTCGAGAAAAACTAAAAAAGTTTAGGGTTTATTTGGAAGCATTTAGAAGGTTGAAGGTTTTTTTTTTCAGAAAAAAATACAAAGTTTGAGGACTTTTTTCGGAAAAAATGAAAAAATACAAGGTTTTATTTCAGGCAAAAAATAAATTTAAGGTTTAATCAGGAAAAAACACAAAATATAAGGTTTTTTTTTAGTTAACCCAAAAAAAAATGTAGAATGTGAGGGTTTTTTCGAGAAAAACTAAAAAAGTTGAGGGTTTATTTTGAAGCAGTTAGAAGATTGAGGGTTTTTTTCGGGAAAAAAATACAAAGTTGAGGGTTTTTCGGAAAAATTGAAAAAATAGGTCTTTTCAGGCAAAAAAAAAAAATTGAGGTTTAATCCGAAAAAAAAAAACACAAAATATAAGGTCTTTTATGAGATTAACCCAAATTTTAAAGTACAATTCTTTTGTAATAAAAAATTGAAATTACAAACGCCTATTTTTGCATTTAACCCAATTGTTAATATACCTTTTTTTTTTAATCTTTTATTTCTTTTGCAACATCTTCAAGCATATGTTTGCAAGACCTTTATTACAGCTGATTATTTATTTAAATGATGGTCTTAAATTAATTAATTCTTTTATCCTATGTGGTATTTAGAGTAAAAATATATGAAATTATTTTCTATTTTGTACAGGAGATGATGGATTGTTATCCGAGGAAGAAACCACATCTGTTTCCGACTCGACCGGAATCGCGGTTTCCGATTCCGATGAATTCTGGAAACCATACACGGATTCCGATTCCGTTGAGCAATCGGAAAGTGATAGCAAGGATGATTCTGATTCTAGTAATACAAACAAGAAGCCTCTGAAAAGAAACAGATGGAAACCAGAAGAGGTTAAAAAGCTTATAAAGTTTCGTGGTGAATTGAATAGTAGATTCCAAGTTGTGAAGGGAAGAATGGCACTTTGGGAAGAAATATCTGGGAATCTTTCCACTCAGGGGTATAATCGAAGCCCTGGGCAATGTAAATCTTTATGGGCTTCATTGCTTCAAAAATACGAGGTTTTTTATTTTCCATATTAACTTTACATTTTTTTTTAAATGTTAATAATAATTATTGTTTCACTCATGTCTTGTTTTGTTCTAAACAGGAAAGTAAGAAAGAATCTGAAAGCAAGAGAAGCTGGCAATATTATGAAGACATGGATAACATCTTCTCCACTTCTTCTGATGCTACTATGATAAACAAACAATGATTTAAGAAATGAAATCTGTTAGCTAGGGTTTTGCTAGTGGAATATATAATTATGTGGTCATGTAATTTCATTAGATTTGAGTTTATTTAAGCTAGGTTTTGCCACTCAACTTAAGAAATTGTATTCTTCTAAAATCCATTATGAAAAAAAAAAAAACATAAAAAGAGGTGAATCCCTCTAGGGTTTTGAGTATTCCATGACTACATACATACCCTATGTCAAATGTCAATCTTCTCCAACTTTTGGAATCTTTATGCATGTTGTCTTAACAGATTTGAATGTTATATATAGATGTTAGTTATATAGGCTACAAGGACAAGCTTTCCAGGGTTATTTTTGTTGATGTGGATGAAGAGGGTATTCACATTTTTTACATAAACAAGAGATCATGACCAAGTCACTGTCCCATTTTGTTCGACAAAAGATTATAGTTTGTGTCTCATTGACATTAGTCCTTGTTCCAGCACAATACATACCAAACACAGTGCAACTTGTTTTGTCTATCTGCATTGTATAACAACAGGGGTCATAAGGTCTTATAGTTCAATCAAAATCGCTATCAGTTAAAATGAAGGTTTTAGTAACAATAGACTAAAAATGTATAATCTAGATAGATGTTAATGTTTATAATATAGAGCTATTATGAACAAGATGGTAAGCTTAATGATTTTAGCCACATAATTGAGTATTATGTATAATATGTATTTATAGACTCGAACACATAAAAGAGATCTTGAGTTGTGATATTCAAGAATTATGTGTTATTTTGACAACATGTGAGATGGGAGTTGTTGCGGGATTCTAAGAGGTGGAATCCTATATACCTAAAAATTTCCAGGTAAGAAACTTTGGCCACTTTTTTTGAAACTATAACTTGTTAATTTGAGGATTTTAGTTGGACAACTGATTTCTGAAAAAAAAAAAAAAAAAAAAAAAAAAAAAACTAATTTCAAGAAAAAATCTTGCACTTTAGGCATTTTTTTGTTGAAAAAAACCATTTTCTTCCTTTTATGTTCCGACCATGCAAGATAAAAAGCTAATGCCAAAAAGACTCTTACTTTAACTTGGTAATTTAAGCATTTTCAGTATACATATGCCATATGCATTTTAGCATAAATATACCGATACATGATGCATGGTACATTAATAGATATGTGGTGATGTAAACTCTGTTTTTAGGTAGTCGTCAATCATTATGTGGTGATGTAAGTTGTCTTAAGTTTGGTTTTTCGTGGGGAAACCATTGATGCAAATAGAAGCTTGAGGATAGATCAAAATTGAACCCAATAGAAATTGTTTTAAGTTAGGTTTCGTGGCATGAGTGACACTTTTTCCATGCACACATCTTCAGAATTCACGTCGTTTTCCCAGAGTTTTCCGTTCGATATTCCATGACCCTCTTTTAAATCATTATGTTGTTAAAAGACACTTTGATCATTATCTTTTAGGGTTACAAAACGTAATACGTGAGTCAGTTTTTCTTAAAAAATGCTTATAACCATTAAATCATAAGTATCATCAATGAGACAGTTTCTTTCTCATGAGCTATGCTACCACACCCAAAAGCTTCATTGATAATACGAAGTGTATTAGAAACGTCAAGTTTCTCCATCTTTCTTATTGGATTCCATTTTATATTTGATATAACTTGGAGCCATTTTTTTTTTCTGAATCTAATAACAGAGAGAATTAAAAGGAGGAATGTCAGTTGTGCTGAGGAAGATGGGATCAGTCAATTGCCAGAACACTTGATAGACTCGATCTTAGAGCGGGTCCCAGTTCAAGATGCTGTAAGGACAAGCATTATATCAAAAAAATGGAGGTACAGATGGACCACAATGAGGGCACTGGTTTTTGATCCGAAGTTCTCTAAAAAGTTTGCAAAAAATGGAGCTTTTAGTCGTAATGGTTTTATAAGGATCATAAACAAAGTCTTGATCCTTCACAAGGGTCCGATCTTGAAATTTGCTCTTTATATACCAAATATGTTTCTTGATAGCTTCCAAGAAATCGATCAATTCATGCTACTCCTATCAAGAAACAGTCTCATGGAACTCATCATTGTTAATGCAAATCAACGTTATGAACTTCCTTCTTGTGTATTTTCTTGTCTAGAATTGAGAAGTTTGAAAGTGACAAAATGTTTCTTCAATCCACCACGTGAGTTTGAAGGATTTCTCAATCTTGAAGAACTTATTCTAAAGCGTATTGATTTTGGGGGTAGATTGTGTGGAACTAAGATCAACCTACCACGGCTTAAGACGTTGACCCTGAATATGTGTACAAATGTTTACAATTTCAACATTAAGGCTACAAAACTGCAGAATTTAATTGTCATTGCTTGTCCTGATGCCATGTTGCTTCAGTTATTGGACAACCGATGCCTTTTTCAGGTTTGGATTGCTTTCGAGAAACCCATACAAGATTTTGTAGGAGTTGAAAAAATGACTTTGGCCAAAATGTTGAGCAACTTTCCAAGAGTTATACAGTTCAATATCGACAGTCATTTTCTTAAGGTAAACTTTTTATTCTTTTTCTTAAGAGATCCTATATTTCCGGTCTATTGTAATTCTTTTGCATAATTGTAATTCTTTTGTATATTGGGTAAGTTAAAAACTAACTTTCATCTCACAGTTTTTTATTGCAGAAAAAATTCCAAAATTGCTTCCACAAACAATTTATAATTTAAAGCAATTGCGGTTGTTCCATTATCAACTTGCTGATTTGCATCAACTTCACGGTGCTCTTTGTTTGCTTCGGAACTCACCAAATCTTGAAACGTTGTGTATATTCATGGCAATGGTAAAGTAGAGAACATTATAGGTAAAAAGTTTTCGCTTATCCGATACAAGAGTTGATGCTAAACTGTGGTTGCATTTTTTGTTGTTTTAGGAGACTCGGGTTGATGTGGGAGCAGCTTCAAATCACTTGGAATCCCCAAACTGCTTGGATTGTACATTGGAACATTTGAAAATTGTTGAGATGAGACATTTAAAAGGATCAAAAGCGGAACTGCTTTTTATAAAGCTTCTTCTTGCTCATTCCCCTTCTCTCCAGAACTTTACCATTACACCAAGTCAGAAAACTGATGCTCAAAAAAGATTTGACATTGCTAAAGATGTGATGCAGTTCCCTCGAGCCTCAACAAAAGCAAAAATGTTCTACTTGAATCCCAAGCCATAATCATGTAGGTGATAATGTTCAACCACATTGCAATTATTTTGGGGTGGCATTACTGATTTTTTGTATTTATTTTTATGTCACGTGATCAAGTACAATTTTAAAGTAGATGAACAACAATTCAACATCAATTTACAAAAATGTAGACAGATACCTACAACCGAAATCAAGACTTCGTTAAAGTAAAATACGAGATTTTTGTAGAATGATAAAAATGACCATTTTAACGTTTTGTAATTTTTTCCTGCTAAATGAAATGTTCCTGTTTGAGAAAATATTTGAATTAACTTGCTGAATAATTATAAAAATTATAAAAAATGCTCTATTAAAAAGGTGAAATTGTGAAATCACCACCAAGCATCATGTTGTATTCTGTTTGAGATTACAACATCCATATGCAATCATTTCCAAACAATACAATGTCAAACTACAAAACATGGTTGGATATGTCTTCTTTGTGGCTTTGTTGGCTCCCGAAACACAATATGTGTGGGATTAAGGTGAGGACAGTTATATTCATTGTTTAAACCAATCTAAAACAGATGGAAAACTGAGTGGTGTGAATTAACCACCTCTTAACAAAATGAATCAACTGCCTCTTAATCAACAAACACAACCTCATTTGAGTGCTTAACAGGGGGCATAGACAGACATGAAGTTAATCAAAAGTAATGCTAGAAACCAAAAGGAGGATGTGTTTGAATCATCATTCTTCAAAGATGCGGGCTTCTTTCATAATAACTCAATTATTGCAGTAAGGCAAAACCCACATCAATTTACAAAATACTAATAAAGTCTAAATAGGGATCACTCATTCGGATGTAAGTGTACAAGAGGAATCACCAAAAAGTATCATATCAACATATCATATTATACTATGAAAAATGTATTTTTTCTTTCATCTCATGCAATGAAACCCTTAACCATTCAACTTTCAATATAATATATTTAATTTATTAATTTATATATATATATATATATATATATATATATGTATATTATAAGTTTAGGTACTCAAACTCACCATATTACGTCGTTTTGTATCACATATACACATTGTAATTGTCCAATGTTCTTCTAATTCAACTTCTAACTTAATTTAATTCCAAGATATTTATAAATTTTACATTTATCTTCCTTTTACATAATTTTCATTTTTAACTATAATATATATAGCCTAATAGGTGTTCGACATAAAGATGTGATGTAAGAGGAAGATAATAGTGAAAATTTGAAAATCTTGAAAGCAAATCAAGTCAGGGGTTGAAATTTAAGAACATTATAATGAATATATCAAACAAAACGACGTATTATGGTGAGTTTGGGTACCTAAGCTTATATACCCTTAAGGGTATATTCACTTTTCCCTATATATTATTAAATATAAATTATTATCATATTAGTTATAAATTTTTTGAATTGTCAATCTAATATCCTAATTTATTAATTGTCAACATAATAAACTAATTGTCGATATGATGTTAAATCGAAAACCTAAATCAAAATATCAAACAAATTAAAAATGTTTTTTAAGTTATTTCTAAATAGCTAAAAAAGAAGTTTTAAACGTTCACAACTTTTCAAATCATTTTTAAAAGCGATTCTAAATAAGTTAATTAATGCAAGATCACTACAAAAAAATAAAACTCTACACCTACACTTTAGTCTTCTATAACTTTCTAATGATAATAAGATGCCTACTAAATTAATTAACAATAATAATAATAAATAGTGATATATATAATAGATTAAATTACATTACTTTACTAACAATTGTTCATATTTGTAACGTCCCAAATTTCAACCCACATTTTTCGATTAAAACTTTAAGTATTTATTTATTTCACAACTGCAAGATTTAAAACATTTATCAGAGTATCATTAAAAATTATCAAGTACACAAATCCCCCATTGATGCAATGCAATCAAGCCGTGCCCCTCCTTTAATATAAGAACACCTGAAACATGTAAACCACAAATCGTAAGCACAAAGCTTAGTGAGTTCCCAAAATACCACACATAGCACAACACAAATAAACAACTATGGGTTATCAGCAACCTTGGGGACTATCAACAATCCCAGTGGGCTAACAGCACACCCGATGGGTTATCAGCAAACCTGGAGACTATCATCAGTCTCAGTCACATATATACAACATAACACAATAATAACAGCTAGACCCAGCTGCTCATCACAGATACAATTATTCTACCACACAGGCTCATACAAACATGCAAGAGTCACAAAGACAACTAACATCCTACATACATAATTTAGTGAGCCGACATTGGTGCCTTCGACTTACGAGCAAGGGAGAAGACTCACCTGAATCGAAAAAACCCTGAAACACTACGACACGATCTCTTTTCTGCATTGCTTGCACCCGTAAATCCACTAACACCAGAACCAGATGAAATCTTATTTAATAGCCCAAAACCCTCAAGTTTGACCTTTGGTCAAACTTGGTAAAAAAGTCATCAATCAACGGAAGTCAAAGTCAACAATTCAACTTCAGGCTGAGTACGCCCACCGTACTCAGCTCGTACGCATGGCGTACTCATCGTCCAGAATCGGGACCCCGTACGAGTACGCGCATCGTACTCAAAGGTACACCCAACGTATTCAGCCAAATGACACTTTTCCATTAAGTGCTTAATCTCTTAAGTTCTTTCATCCAACACTCAGATCTAGTCCTACAACATCATTTTAAGTCATAAAGTTTCCACCTTTATGAGTTTCCATGTCTATACATGTAACACCGTAAATTTTCAAACAAAATTTTCATTTAAAATCATATAATTCTCATAACATATTTCACAAAAACCTCATTTATTTAATTTACAAATCGCAACTCCATATTTGTTTGATTAAAATCCAGGATCCTCAAAACATAACTCTTTCGCTTGTGTGTACAATCAAGCCGGTGCCTTCCCGTGATCCTGAGAAAACCTGAAACACATAACATACAACACGGTAAGCACAAAGCTTAGTGAGTTCCCCAAAATACCACACATATCTCAGCAGCCTCTCATGGCTATACTCAGATAAGACCCTCCGGTCAATGTGTCTCAGTGGGACCCTCCGGTACCATAACTCGGGTGGACCCTCTGGTCCTAACTCAGCAAGGCATAGCATAATAACAAAGCATATCATAATCACGAAGCATAATGCGTAATATAGATATCACATAACTCAGCGTGAGCATATATAAACAACGTTTACGTTGACTAACATAACAGCATAAGTCACGAAGACAGTATGCACAATAACGCATATATCAATATAACAATGAGACCCTCTGGTCAATAATGAGGACCCTCCGGTCCAGTATCTCTATGAAGACCCTCCGGTCACACAGTAACTACTACTCAGATGTATAGTGAGAAGACTCACCTTGACAGCAAGCAATCATCCTCAAACTCGAATCTCGAACAAGCCACCGCTTAACACATAGGGTAATTATCTCAATAAATACTCGATTCTCGACTCTAAGTAAACCGAAGGTTATTCTTCCTCTTTCTAACTCTTGAAGTGGATAAAAGACCATTTTACCCCTCCATGGTCTCCATTACTCATGTTGACCAAACCCTAAAGTCAACAGAAGTCAAACTCGAGTCAACAATCCATATTGACCTGACTCGCCGAGTGCACCCATGTGACTCGTCGAGTCCAATTGTTTTCCTCAGAAGTCTCGTGGAGGTTGACTCAGCTCGTCGAGTTGACTCCCAACTCGTCGAGTTATTGCATGGTCGTGAACATCGGGACAAACCCTAACTGACTCGTTGAGTCAGCTCATGGACTCGGCGAGTTTACTCAACCTGATCACTCATTCAGACGCCCAATGTCAGATCTACCACACTAGACTCTAGATCCAGTCCTTAAAGGTACAGAAATCGCGTAAAGTCTCGACCTTTACGTTCATGCATGACATATATGACCAAAAATGCCAAAACAAGTCTTACAAAGGGTTAGGTGCTCAAAGTCTAGTCTCTAGCTCAATAAAGTTCAGGTCCTTAGGCTCTCCCTACCCTCCACACTTCAGATATGAGGTTTCAACCTCAAATCATACACAAAAGGCTCATTGACTCTAAACAATGGAAGAAAGCCCTAGAAAACTCCCATATCAAGATCTCCATAGAAGATGAGCAAATCAACATCTTTACCTCAAGAAAACTCTGCTGAATCTGAAGATCCAAAGTCTCCTCTTGCTCTAACCTCAATACTCATCACTTCTCCTTCAAAGAATGCACCCACAATCACTAATTTAGCTCTTCTCTCCCTCTCTAGCTCTAATGGAGATTAGGGTTTGATCTGTGACAACCGTCAAATTCTGGTCTAGTCAAAGTCAAATAAAGTCAACAAGTCAAACCGGTCAACTCTACTAACTCTTGTATACTAGGGTTCACTTTATGTAATTACTGTACAACTCACTATTTTAATAAGAAATCATCACTTGAAAAGTTTGTATTTTTAGATTTCTTGAACCCTAATTGGGGTAAGTGAGGTAGCAAAGCGATAAAACACTATTACATACCCTTCGGAGGTGTGTAAGACTCTTAAACATGGCTAAACGGGGTTTGCGGACCTTGCGTTTCAAAGCCAAACACTCAAAAAGGCCACAAAAGAAGTCTCTCCCAATCTCTTTCACTCCATCTCTCTCAGCCTTAAATCTCTCCCAAATCTCTCTAAGTATGCCAAATCTCTCCAAGTATGTCAAATCTCTCCCAAATCTCTCTAAGTATGCCAAATCTCTCCAAGTATGTCAAATCTCTCCCAAATCTCTCTAAGTATGCCAAATCTCTCCAAATATGTCAAATCTCTCCCAAATCTCTCTCAAAATCTCTCTCAACTTTTTATAATCACTCGGGGCATCCCGACCCTCGAATTTGACGAAAACAGCTCGAAAACGGAAGTCTACGCGAAAAACAGCCTTAAGGAGCCGAACCTTCTTAGGAACCGAACCTTCTTAGGAGCCGAAACCTTGCATCAGAACCGAAACCCT